AAAAAAGACTTCCGTATTTTAACAAAATAACATGTAATTTTATACTTTCGACAAATAGATTTTCAAAAATATGATATATACTACAAGGATTATGCCACGATAATTTAATTGAATTATTAATTTTAAGGTTTTATAGAATATCGAGAAAATAAGAGGTATATAAAAAATAATTGAAGTTATTTAAATAAATGAATAATATATGTATGTGTCAAAAAAATATTTTTATTATTATGTTGTCGAAGAGTAAATTTAATGCTCACAACACTTTTTGAATTGACAAGAAAATAATCGACAACCTTTTATATTAGCTTTTTTTTTTTTTTTTTTTTTAAAGAAATATTGACAAGAGTTATACTCACAAACAACTGTGGCAAACGGACCCTTACTTTTAAGAAACTGAGTTTTCCCCTTAAAAAAGTGCAGCAAAATAAATTATTAAAACACGTTTCATGAGAAAAAAAAATATATTTTTAAAGTTACTATATATTTTCTTTAAATACCAAATCGAAAAGCAAAGGTGTATCTGTTGGAAAGAATGAGTTGAATGGCTGACTTTAACATAAATTTTGAGTGAGATCCGGTTGTTTATTTGGGAAGATCAAGATTGATCTGTGTTCTTCTCCGTGAGAACATCCAAATTATATATTTACTTGCCAAAAATGATATTCGGATAAATGAAAAATTAGAGCTCAAAGTGTGCCAATTGAAAGGAGTTTGTGTTGGAGGGAAATAAATTAAGGTTTGTTCCATATGGAAAAATAAAGAAAGCAAATACTATCTTATATAAGATTGTACTTTGGAATGGTGTGATCATATGTAGAATATAGACTCTTTCCACGTGCACGCACGTGCAAATCATGGATCGAAATAGATTTCGGACCTTGAGTTTGCGTGCGGAGAGGACTTGCGCACATTAATATTGGACCTAAGGGGCCAAAATTGGCCCCATATGAGAGCTTACGTTTTGCCAATTTTTTTCTATCTAGCATTTAGAAATGAAAATGAGTGAAATATCATTATTTTTATATAAAATGGATGGTTGAAAAAGAAAGAAAAATTATTGATTTACGTGTAATATTATTTTATGAAAAATTATGTGGTTGAAATATATGAGAGAAAAATGAAATGTAATATAATGGGAGTCAAATTAGGGCTTAAGAAAAGTTGCTAAAAATTGAATATATTTGATATTTTATTACGATTGTTTTCTACGTGTTCGAACGTTCTATAATTATATCATTTTCAATACTTTAAATGCAGACTTACATTTAACTTACTTTTCTATACGTGTTATGAACGACCAATTAAAACAATCAATTCAACTGAAAAAAAAATATCCGTTTATCAATAATCACGGATTTACCAATAACAAAATTTCAATTCAAATGTTGTTTGGTAATGGAATGATTCTCTTTTTTCTTCATGATTTTGGAGTCTATTCAAAATAAAAAAATCTTCTAAAGCTGATGAGTCACTTGACCCACTAGGGTTTAATGTGGATCCGCCAATGCTACCGAACATATCCTTAGTACTTCAACACATACATCCCCATAAGATAAGCTGAACAATTTTTCTATCAAATCTAATATAGTAACTCTTATGTCAAATGACAACCAGTGAAGGGTACTTTAATTTGTTCTCTTGGCCTACTTATCTCGACAAATTGCATGTGCTAATTTTTTTTTTATTTGTTTCTAATCATATGGTTAAGTATTTTACACGCTACATCCAATCGAATCCTTACATGAGTAAAAAACTATTTATTCATTTTCATTAAATCCTGATCTTGATTATTGAAAAAAATTATATTAAATATCTATTTAACCTGAAAAATTTATAAAATTAATATTTGAGATGACCAAATATTTGTATTTGCTACGTGTCAGAATAAAACTACAGATTCCGAAACGTCTTGGCGCACGTGGTAGATCACCAAATATCACCGGACGAGCAAGTAACACGTTTCCATTAGGAACTCAAATTTGATTAGTAAAATCCTCCACCACCCTTTTTTTATTTTTGTGTGTGACAAAAGTACTCTAATATGAAATCTTTTTGAATAATTTTTTCAACCACTACTTTTATAAAATGATAAGAGCAACCCAAATTGGTTTCTAAACAATAATTGAAACTCTTACAGCAATTTGGAACTAGATAATATATGAAAAGAAAAAACGTAATGTTCGTTTGGGAATGCTTTTGTTCCTGAAAAAATGATCAAATATATTCAATCTTTAATCATATATTTTATTAAATTTATAAATTTTACCCTCTTTTCACCATAAATTTCATGGGACCTACAAATTTTTTTATTTATCAATTTTTAGTAGCATTGTACATCTTATAGCAACCATTAGTCAATAGTCTTCCATTCCACTCCCAATTACTTCATCCTCTATTTTAAAATGACAATTTGAAGATTTGGAGATCATATTGACAATGATCGATCTATGGTCTAAAACATAATAAGATCAAGTACTTGTATGTGGAAGTTTAAAAAGTTGCTTAAAAGTTAATGTCAAAGTCAACAATTAATTTTAATCATATATTACGTCGGACATAAAATTACTATCACTTTTTTTTATCACTTATTTCAGAGGATCCACCACTCCCTTTTATGAAATCATCTTCTTGGTTCTATTTTAAAATGACAATTTGAAGATTTGGAGATCATATTGACAATGATCGATCTATGGTCTAAAACATAATAAGATCAAGTACTTGTACGTGGAAGTTTAAAAAATTGCTTAAAAGTTAATGGCAAAGTCAACAATTAATTTTAATCATACATTACGTCGGACATAAAATTACTATCACTTTTTTTTATCACTTATTTCAGAGGATCCACCTCTCCCTTTTATGAAATCATCTTCTTGGTTCTCACAAACAAGCACTAAAAATATAAATATTTTAAAATTAACAGACATAAGCTAGATGTCTGTTAATGTAAGTTATATTTTAATTGGAATAATTCTCATTGTTGTGGGGGTTAAGTTTTAGACTATAAAAGAGAGTCATTTTTTATAGTTTGAAATAACAACTTGAAGTATTATTCTCTCTACAATTTTATATTATGTTCATATTATTTTGACAATTCGATGATAGACTCGTTCTTTATCTCTCTATGATCGTGCCATAGAAGGGGAAGCGACTGTGAGCCACATACGTTTTATCTTAAAGTCGTGTAGTACGTAAAGAATCCGCAAAAAGAGAGGCAACAAGACTTTAAGACAGCGTTTTCGACGTGACTTCCAAAACTTGCTTTCTAAATCTCTTCTTTATTTTATGTTATATTATTCTTGAGTTGTACTTGTTATTTTATTAAGTTAATTGATAATAAATCTACACACAAATCACCCAATTTTTTCAATATTCTTCACATGATTATGATCATCCAAGTGTTCAATATTTATTCGTGACCTCAAGCTTCAATTTTTCAGCATTGCTTTTTGTTTTAGTGATTTCTTACAGATGGCACTAGTTGATGTTGGTCAATTTTATCTAGGTCTAATACAGTCACGATTCGATCAGTTGACCTGCAACGAAGGGGGTGAAGAAAGGGTTAAAGTGTTCTTTGGTAAAAAGAATTACTCAATATGGAAAGGCTTGTATCAACTATGTACTTTTTGTTCTCTACTTTCTATTTGTAGACGTCCTATCAATGATGACATGACAAAGTTTGTTATTAGCATGTGGAACATGTTTCCCTAGAGTTAAAAACAAATCACAGAGGGGGTCAAGGATAGTGGAGAGAAAATTGTCGGATATTATGGAGTTAAAGTTATCATATATCCTTGGTACACTAAATGTCGTGGATGTCGACTTTTAAAGTGATTACACAACCTATATTTCGATGATATGGATGTCGGGTGGTATTGAGTCTCTCCAGGGCCGGTCCTGGCCCAAGGCGAGTGAGGCCACTGCCTTGGGCCTCATATTTTAGGGGCCTCTAAAAAGCCCAAAATCGTCCACTTAATTAAAAAAAAAAAATTTAAGTTTGCACATAAAAGAGGAAAACAAACGGACTGGCGGACTGCATTCAGTTTCTCACTTTCTCCATTAGTGTCTTCTCTTCATCTTCTCCACAAACGGCACTCCGATCTAGAAGGCAAAATTAATCCACAGGTTGGGCGAAATCCTCAGGTGTGAAATCCACAGGTTGGGCGTCAATTTTTTTTTTATCAAAATTGTATTATACTTTATTAAAATTTTCCCTTCATTCTGGTAATCGGAAATCATGTCCATTTATGATAATAAACAAAATCCAACAAGAATTTATCTTGTACAGTTTTACATTTGCCCCAGTACACGAATTTGTAGCCCATGTTTAGGTTGTTAAGTGCTAGAATGTAGAAAGAAACAGCCATGGCAGGACCTGTAATATTATTTTCATGGTTTAAATTGGTTTTGAGTGTCAGTAATCTGTACAGCAGAAGAAAATATTTCGAATTTCTTGAATATTTCTTAATATCATTTCGTAATTCGCAGGCTGCTGCATCCTCAAATTCTGCTAGAAATGACCAAATAACTCTTGCTACTATATCTGATTTTTTTAATTTTTTTTAATTTTTTTTTTTAATCTTAGACTAGTTTTTTTTTTTTGAAGAAGACGTCATAGAGGGCATCTCCTTGTGGATTTGCTTTGCGTAATTTCATTGCCGGCACTCTAGAGCAAATTGTGTGACAATTTTAAGACAAGCAGTGCTCTTGCTCTGTATCAAATTTAGCCTTTTTCTTCCATTTAGGCTCTTGCTTTGTATCAAATTTAGCCTTTTTCTTCCATTTTTTCGGCAGTAGCCAGTAGGAGTAGGATTTTAGTAATTAGTGGTGATGTTATTTCAATATAAGTTTTGATTTTTGATTTTTCGGCAGTAGAATTTTAGTGCCCTCTCTCGATATTATTTCAATACAACTATACAAGTAATGAATTCTTATTTTGCTCCATTTTTGCTCCACTTTTTCAGACTTTGCATTTTCAATCGCAACTTGAAACAGCCGCGTTGTCTACTTCAAGCACCACCGCGACCACCACTACCACCAATTTCAGAATCCTTTCAATTTGGGGACTTATCAATCAGGTTTTATCGCTCTTTGCTTATTATTATGTCTACAAGAAAATTTGAATCTGGATTTGCCAAAAGAAAAAGAAAGGAAAAGATTGAAAAATTGATTAAATCTCAAGATGGGGCACTCGATAAGTTTTTTGGCAGTAGTAAACGAACACATAATGAAGATGTAGTTACTGAAGAAGTGTTTAACGAGAATCATAACAAAAATAATACAATTGAGGAAGGACATTGTGTGATGAATGAAGAGGTGTCTACTGACAAAGATAATGAACCATTTTCTCTCGACCTTGTTGATCCAGCAAATTGGGGAAATATGAATACGAATTTAAGAGATTTAATTGTATTGAAAGGTCCTGTAAGAGAACATGAAATGATTTTTCCGAAAGATAGAGCAAATCGACACTTCTCATCCATTCATTACGTTCGAAGATTACCTAATGGAGAGACGTATGATAGAAAATGGTTGATATATTCAAAAAGTTTGGATAAAGTATTTTGCTTTTGTTGTAAGCTATTTAAGAATGATGGGATTAGAACTCAATTGGCACATGACGGAGTAAATGATTGGAAAAATATTGGTGAAAAGCTTAAAACGCATGAAGTAAGTTGTGACCACATCAATAACATGAGTAAATGGATAGAAATGGAATTAAGATTCGAAAAGAGTCAAACAATTGATAAAAGTGTGCAAGAACAAATCAATAGAGATAGAGAACATTGGAGACAAGTATTACTGAGAATAATATCTGTGGTGAAAACTCTTGCTGAGAATAATTTAGCATTTCGTGGGGATAATGAGAAGATATATCAAGAAAATAATGGTATCTTCTTAAGCATGATTCAAATGATTGCTGAGTTCGATCCTGTAATGCAAGAGCATGTTCGTCGAATAAAAAATAAAGAGATTCATTATCATTATCTAGGACACAAAATTCAGAATGAGCTGATACTTATGCTAGCGGGCGAGATAAAAAAGGTAATCATTGAGAAACTCAAAAATTCTAAATACTTTTCTGTTATTCTTGATTGCACTCCAGATACAAGTCATGAAGAAAAATGTCTATAATATTGAGGTGTGTAGATATTTCGGCAAGTCCAGTGAAGGTTGAAGAATTCTTTTTAGGATTTTTATTGGTGAATGATACATCAGGTAAGGGACTTTTTGATGAACTGGTGGATGCTTTGAATAATTTAGAACTTGATATTGATGATGTAAGGGGTCAAGGCTATGATAATGGTGCTAACATGAAAGGACAACATAAAGGAGTTCAAAGTAGATTATTACAACTAAATCCTAGAGCATTCTACAGTCCTTGTGGATGTCATAGTCTTAATCTTGCACTTTGTGATGTGGCCACTTGTTGTTCAAAAGTTAAATCTTTCTTTGGGGTGGTGCAACGTATATACACTTTATTTTCTTCATCTACTAAACGGTGGAAAATTTTCAAAGAGAATGTAACTGGTCTTACCCTTAAGCCCTTGTCACAAACTCGGTGGGAAAGTCATATTGAAAGTGTTAGAGCGATAAGATTTCAAACTCCGCAGATAAAAAAAGCGTTACTTCAATTAGCAAATATTGATGATCCTAAGACAAAAAGTGAGGCGGAGTGTTTGGCAACATATGAAATTGACAATTTTGAATTCTTACTTGGGATGATTATTTGGTATGAAGTATTGAATAATGTTAACAGAGTAAGCAAACATTTGCAAGCGGAAGACATGCATATTGATGTTGCTATAGACCATTTAAAAAGCCTCATTTCATTTTTCAAAAGTTATAGAGAATCTGGTTTTGAATCGGCCATGGTAGATGCTAAAGAGATTGCAAGTGAATTAGAAATTGAACCGATCTTTCGTGAAAAACGGGTTATACATAGAAAAAACAGTTTGAAGAGACTTCTTCTGAACAGATAACACAAACAGCTGAAAAATCTTTTAAGATCAATTATTTCTTATATATAGTGGATCAAGCTCTATCATCACTTGAGAATAGATTTGAGCAATTTCAGAAATATGATGATATTTTTGGATTTTTATTTGATTTGAAAAGACTTAAATTTATTGATGATGATGTTTTGAAGTGTTCTTGCATTAAACTTGAAAATTACTTAAAGCATAATACGCATTCTGATATTGATGGAACGGAATTATTTTCTGAGTTGAAAATTTTAAGGGAAGCGATATCTGAAAACATATTTGGAGCAATTGATGTATTGGATTACATTAAGAGAATGAACTGTTGTTTTGCAAATGCCTGGATTGCTTATAGAATATTATTGACCATTCTTGTCACAGTTGCCTCTGCTGAAAGAAGTTTTTCGAAATTGAAATTGATTAAATCTTATCTTCGATCATCCATGTCACAGGAGCGATTGAATGGATTAGCTATGATTTCTATTGAAAAAAATATGTTGGAAAAACTTGATGTTAGTAGTTTGATTACTAATTTTACATCTCAAAATGTGAGAAGGTTAAATCTTAATCTTTCGGGTTGTGAAAGAAGTTTTATTTTGCTATTCCATCTTTTGAATTGTATAAAGTTTTCTTTTTAATATAAAAGTGTTAATTATTTAAATATTTACATATTGTTAGACTTGTAAAATAAATTTTTGTGCTGAGGGGCCTCATATTAATTAAACGCCTAGGGCCTCTAAATTCTCAGGGCTGGCCCTGAGTCTCTCTCACTCCAAAAACTGTCTCAAGAGGTAAGACACTCATACTTATAAACTGAATATCAACACCATCCACAATCGATGTGGGACAACCTCAACAATCTTCTCCTCACATATCGGGCTTTGCGGGAGACCAAACACGTCTCCTTCCACACATCAGGCCCTGCGAGAGATCAAACCCGTCCCTCCCTCACACACGGGGCCCACGGGAAACCAAATTCGTCTCTCCCTCACACAAACCCGTATCTCCGTGATTGTTGGGCCGGGGACTTGTTGATAAATCGGGCTTTGATACCATTGTTGGGTGGCATTAGACTTCTCTCACCCCAAAAGTTAGCTCAAAAGATGAGGTTTTCGTTCACACCTATAAACTGAATATCAACCCAATCCACAACCGATGTAGGACAACATCAACAAATCATCACAAAATGATAACCAAGGTTACATTGGGTTCACTATCCCGATGATTATAGCTCGATCATTAGGGTGGGTATCAACACGTTTTTAACCAAACCTCGTAGATACTTCACTACATCATCCTTATTTGCAAATGGAGATACTTCATTTCGTTTCTTTAAAAGACATTATCATGTGTTAATCCGGCAAGTGATTCATGAGTAACGGTGGGTGGGTAGAAAAATCAAAATGTTTTTGGAGGCCATATATATATAACAAATTAAGTTTATCGAGTGTTTATTATATACTTTTTCAACAACTAGAAACCATTCTCTTTTAATTGATTGTGTTACATCAATGAATATGTGTCTCAAGGTGTCAAAATTTCTTCATGCCGATACTTTGAACAATTTAAGAACATGATCCGTTATTGAACTTCACATTCGAAACTCAAAACATGAGATTTTTGTGGTCTCAACATGCATTCAAATAGACTGGCCTGTATGCTTGCTTCTGAATTTTTGAAGTTCTTCAATTGTCGTAATGTTACTTGGAATTGATACCTTTGATTGATGTTCTGTTACCGAGTTTCAATTTCAAAATTAAAATGGATTAGTTTGTACCTTTGTGGGATAAAAGCCCCACAAACAGACTGGCTGAATTGCTTGTAATTAAGGTAATATTCCATAAAAATAACTCTTTATGTGCCCCCCGGGGCACATCCAAGTTGGCAAAGGAAGGGCAGTGCGGGGCTCACAACCCCAGCCTGGGGAGTTTGATTCTTGGTTGGAGCAGCTGAGTGTTTGTAATAACCATCTTGGTTGGAGCAGTTTGGTGATGTAATAACCATGGAGGAGGGTCCCTTGGGGTCAGGAGTATAAAGACTGTTCGAACCCTGGTCAATTTGGATATATACCGTGATTTACCTTCACCAGTCACTGAGGGGCCGGGGGCTGGGGGTCCAGGATATAGTCTGGCAAAGCTGGGAAACCTGGGTATCAAAAAAAAAAAAAAACTCTTTATGCTGACCTCGAAATTCGATGGATTACATAGCAAATAGATTTTAACTCCTCTTTTGTCCACGTTTATATTATTTGTATACTTAAACATCCACGTTAGACAATTCGTGATTATAACTTCGACGGGGTATAACGATCGAGGGCACCCAACGCTCAAATCAAATGGTAGTTAAAAGTATTTGAGTATAAAAAAGACAATAGACGAAAATATGGGAGTCGTGTTAAATAGAAATATTGAAAGCAACCTATATTGTTCAATTTCTTATTTAGAATAGTGTATGTGTATGATTTTTTCTATTTTTTTATCCCTCTTGTTATTTTCGACGACCTGCAAATCCCTCGTGATTTTAAAAATTAAGTTGTTGAATAACTTAAATTGTAGTAGTTGAGCTCTTAAAAATATTTTAAGTAAAAATTTGTGGGTTATGTTATGTGTGCACCAAAACACCACAATGCTTTACACTTTCTTCACATGAACGAGGTGTAAGTATTATGTCCTAGGTCCAATCAATTTTGGATATAAATACTTTTGATAAATAATTAATGTAATTTAATGACAGATCTATTATTTAATTAATAGACAATTAAATAAATAATAGAGTCCGTAGATTCAAATCTTCGTAATTTTTAATCACAAGAAGTTGTGATTGTGAGATACAAATTACATCTGATTGAATCTTAAATCGTCCGTGGTCGTAAGTAATAATGAGATACGGATATCGTTATTACGGATAGATCATCACGTGTGGCATTTCTTACTAGTGAAGTAAGTAGCTGATCTCACAAGTTAAAGTGTGGTGACACTTAAATGAACACGTGGATGTTTTGTTATAGAACAAAACATTGGAGACCAGCCGAGAGATTCCACATGGATAACTATCTGAGTGTCAGTGGTTAATCTCTAACGTTCGGTAGTGGAATTTGTCATTTTGACTTGAGATCGTCATGGTACCTTATATGAGGACGGTCATACTTTGGTGACGTTGGATGTTGCTCTGTAAAGGGCCGCTAATACGACATCGTTCGGGTACGTCAAGAATCGTATGAAAGTTGTGATTGATCAATAAAGGATTCATCACTCTTAGATAATAGGAGATTATGATCTGCGTTTCATTCAATTAAGTCGATGATGAAATCTTTGGCCAAGGTGTACTCATAAGTCGAAAAAAGAGTTTTCGACTTATATTGACTTAATAGTAGAGTGAAAGATATGATCGATGATCGAGATTGACACACTTCCATATCTCATAATTGATCGGATCATATTGACGAAGGGATTATAGTTTCATGGTAAACGAACGAGTTTAGTTTTATCATACCACATGACATTTCCCGTCACATGTATTGCCCTGACATATTGTTAGATGTCAATCTAGAATGACGAGTGTGAATTGACGATAAATTAAAAGGGTGTTTTAATCTATCAATTTTGATTAGATCAAAATAATATTTTATGTCATTAGGCATAGTGATCGGGAACCTGATGGGTCGTACGCAAAAGAGAATTTAAAAATTGCAATTTATCAATTAATTAATTTAACAATCGTTAGATAAATTAATTAATTGAGTTGATTATTTATAAGTCTAAATTAATTAATTTGATTAATTAATTCACGGACCGAATTTAATTAAATGGTTTAATTAAATATTGGATCGGATCAGGTCAGGTCAGGTCAGGCCCGTTTGGGCTTATATAAATACAAGGTTAGGGTTTTCCATCCACATGGTTTTCATTCTCATAATTATTTTTGCTAGTATAAGAGGAGAAAATTCTGGTAACTGTAATCTTATTCTCTGTATGGATCATCGTTGGAGGTTGGACAATTGGACAATTGTGCGTGGCAAATCAAAATTGCTGGAACGAAAAGAAAAGCAAAAGGTTGTAGAATTCTTCAAAATTACAATCTTTATCACGATTTCTATCTAAACACAAAGGGATCCTCGATAGAAATCGAAATAATTTTAATTTTTTGCTGTGCATATATAAGTAGATTCTCAACACGGGGGTCCACGCATTCAACGTATGTGTACAAGGAAAATGTACAAACAACATAATTCAAAATTTATTTATATTAAATCCCATCAGCGATTTGGAGAATTTTAGACACGTGTGGAGTAGAAATGAAGATAGAAGGCAATAAACAAATAAATTTTAAAGGCTATATTTTGATAAAGCTTTCCAAATAAGATATTAAAGAAATGATAAGGACCCACGAATATTATATATAATTTAAAAATTGTCAGATGAGGGGCACGTTATGGCGTAAAAGGCGAGCTAGCGTGTGACACGACGTCAGATGAACGACTTTAATAGTTGAATAAACGTGGGCCACGGCTGGGCTTGACCGGAACCAGCAGGAAGCCGGACCATTTGTTTTTTCAACCCACTAACACTTGCACCACTCATCTTCTCATGCTTAAGTGACGCGCGGGTAAAATATTACTAATACAATTACTTGTCTGGTCAAGAATTAAGTGGGAAATTCACGACCCCCGAAATATTTTGCTTTCTAGCACCCCTTTGATTTCCATTCTTATAAGAATGAAAATGAAAAGTATAATCGTTATAAAATCCACACAAAAGAGAAGAAGTTAAATATGGTGACTTGATATGATGGATAATGATTATATTTTTCATTTTTTGGCCAAAAAATGAAAAACAAACGGGCCCTAATGTTTCGATTTTGTTACAGCAATACACCCTCTGTTGCGCATGAGCACGAGTGTGTCTACGTGCTTGAATTTTGTTTGTAATAAGGGTTTATTTGGCACATGTTCGATGATCATTATTTTAAAAATAATGAAGTTTTAAATTATGATTTTTTTTTTTTGAGAATATCTCGTTAATAAGTAGGGAAAGAAATTTTGGTTAATATGCAAAATATTTTACTATAAATAAATATGTGGTTGAAAATGAATATGATAATTAAAATTTTTTGAAATAATGATTGTCAGACAAGGGCATAGATCTAGTTGAATTTTGTTTTAAATAAAGGTTAATTTGTTCACGGGACAGAGGGAGGTGGTAAACCTCGACAAGCCCATTATTTTTAAATCCATATCAGATTAGTAGAATTTTTTCATAAGATCCATTCAAGTTGATTCTCTATCCCTATCTGTCTTAAGACCTTGAAGGGAACTTAAGCTAGAACCTCGAGCTAGCCCTCCACCCAAGAGCAAGCCAGAGGT